TGTGTGTGTGTGTGTGTGTGTGTGTGTGTGTCCATTCATTTGTAGTAGTTCACAGCGCAGCGGTGCCACCTCCAATATGGCGGACGCACAGCCTCGTCACAGCAGCGGACCGACACAGTCAACGAGGTTCTACGTATTCATTTCTGTGCTGAAACTGACCTACAGTCTACTTCCTGTGACAGGAGGAACTGGAACACAGTTTTCTCATTGCTCCACAATATTTTTTCAGAAGTCTGAGTGAGCTGTGTCTGCACCCTCAGGTCCTTCTCATATGGTTGAAGCTGACGTCATCCTGAGAGGTGGGGACCCCAGGGAGCCTGTCATGGCCCACCCCCCTGACACAGACAGTGACATCACCCTCAGAGAGTGGCTGCAGGAAGTCAAGCATCATCAGAAGGGCATGAAGCTGGACTTTAAGAGGTGAGATCAGCCCGTCTTCCTGCTCAGGACCGAGCTGGGTCTGGGTGCTACTGGACCTGTGCTTTGCTTCTCACAGCCTGGAGGCCGTGGGTCCGTCTCTGGTCCTGCTGGAGGAGGTTCTGCCTGAGCCCAGCTTCCCTGTGTGGATCAACGCAGATATCTTGTGTGGTCCTGGAGGGAAGGCCCAGCCTCTGGACCCCGAGTCYTTCCTGTCCGCCGTGTCGGCTCTTCCTGCTCACACCGTGCTGTCTCTGGGCTGGACCACAGGATGGACCCCTGCAGCGGACCACCCAGGTGCCAGATATGTGTTCATCTGAAAAGTATCAGCGGGTAGAGTTAAGTGTTCAGGAAGTCTGATGCTTTAGAAATACAAACGTTTATTGACAGAAGAACAACAGAGCTTTGATTTAAGTGTTTTCATTTTAAAACATATTCTGTAGAAATACACACTTTAAGATCTATTTTAATTAAGTTTTATAATCAGGGTTTCAGTTCCAGCTTTCCAGGTCTAAATAAATATGGAAAATCAAATCTAGTATAAAAGAATCAAATCAAACAATCTAAATCTTAATTAAACCAGTTATTGTCCTGATGCTTCTCAGTAATCCAGGTAGAAAAATCAAAAAGAAAAAAAAGTAGGTCCTCTGGACGGGAAACGTTTTGTCTCCTCCAAGAGACTTCTTCAGTGCCTTGATTGGCTCTACAGCTCAGCTGGTCGTACCTTTTTAGTTATTGTAGGGGTCACCTCGAGTTAAATTATCAAGGAAACTGTCTTGGACGCTCAGTCCTCTGATGGACCTTCGAAGGGACAAAAACTCTGTTCCACTTAGAGCTGTATTTAGGCCACCCAAGGC